GTTTCCTCCAGGAATTGTGGGAACTGTCATGCGACCACACTCTCAACAAACTTCGCCACAAAGCGAAGGTTGGAGACAGGACGATAGTTAGCCAATACTGCTGGATCCAGGGAGGGCTTCTTGAAGAGAGGCCTCACCACTGCCTCTTTCAAGGTAGCGGGGAAGTGACCCTCACTCAACGAAGTGTTGATAATTCCCTGGAGCCAGCCTCGTGAGACCTCCCGGGAAGCCAGTACTAACCAGGAGGGACCCGGATCCAGTAAACATGTGGTCGCATTAAGTCTCCCCAAAATCCTGTCCACGTCATCCGGAGTCACAGAGTCAAACTCTTCCCAGATAACATTCTCAAGACTACTCCTCATCACCCTGCCCGGATCTACCCAGTCAGAGTCCAAATCCTGCTGGATCTGAGCAATTTTGTCATACAGATACCGTCCAAAATCCTCAGCCCTGCCCTCCAGAGGGTCCTCCTGCACTCCCAGTTGAAGCAGGGAGCGGGTCACTCGGAACAGGGCCGCCGGACGATTTTCTGATGACACAATAAGAGCAGAAAAGTAATTGGACTTTGCCGCTTTTATCGCCACTAGGTAGGTCTTAATATGCGACCTTACCAGTGTTCGGTCAGATTCGGTGCGACTGGCCCTCCAACCACTCTCCAGGCGTCTTTTCCGGCGCTTCATCTCTCTCAGCTCCTCAGTAAACCAAGGAGCCGTGAGGGATCAGGACCAGGTCAGAGGCCGCAAAGGCACGACTCGATCTAAGGCTCCGCTAGCGGCCCAATCCCAGGCCGCCACCAGGTCCCCGATTGAGCCCTGAGCTAGAACCTCAGGAAATGGCCCAAGCTCCATCTGGAATCTATCAGAATCCATCAGGTGCCTGGGGCGGACCCATCTTGTAGGCTCCGCCTCCCTGCGGTGGGGTGTAGCGGTTCAAAGGAATGAGGCGAAGGAATGAGTGGTCAGACCATGACAAGGGTTCCATGTCTGTATCCCCTATAACAAGGCCACTCAACCACTGGCCAGAGACGAAAATCAAGTCCAGAGTGTGACCCCCCCCTGTGAGTGGGGCCATGAACTAACTGGTCAGGTCCATGGCCATCATGGAAGCCATGAACTCCCGTGCCATCTCAGACGTCTCACCAACGGATGGCAGGTTGAAATCACCCATGACCATAAGCCTGGGTGTATCAACTGCCACCGTGGCTATCACGTCGAGTAGCTCGGGCAGGGCCATTGCCACGCAGCAGGGAGCCAGGTACGTGAGCAACAGGCCCATCTGAACCCCATGACCCCATCTCACAAAGAGGGTTTCACATCCGGCAATCTGTGGCACAGTGGTTTCCCTCGAACCAAGATCTTCTTTAATAATAACCGCCACCCCCCCACCCCTCCCCTGCACCCTCGGCTGATGAAATGCTCTGGAGCCCGGTGGGCACATCTCAACCAGGGGGACCCATCCCTCCGGGCCCAACCAGGTCTCAGTAATAGCTGCCAGGTCCACTCCCCCCTCCTGTATAAGATCATAAATGAGGGGGGCCTTATTAACCACGGACCTGGCATTGCATAACATCAGCCGGAGGCCCAGGTCCTCAGTATCTAAGCCACCTAGTATCTGAGTGGAGGCTTGGGGACCGGGGCACGCAATTGCTCTCAAACAGCGAGTGCGCACCCCCTGCACATGATATGGTCCCCTACTCCCACCATATCTGCCCCTCCCATTCACTGTGCTGATGGAAAATTCTTCTTCCAGATGGTCCTCCAGCCCCTCCACAATCCCTCGACTTGCACCCTCCAGGCCGTCCCCCTGTGCCGGGCTCGGCTCTGACCTTAGTGGGTTTTTCCCCCCAAACCCCTTGGTCTTCCTCCCGGTTCCCCTTAAAAAATCATTATTCCCATCCCTCCTCCCGGGTCCCCTTAAGAATTTCATTAAAAATTTGCATAAAAAACCCCTCAACCCCCTCTTCGCTGCATGCCATCTCTCGGGGTTCCAAAGCCCGTCATCAAGATAAGCCCTCGATAACGTGGAGGGCCAGGCCCGCAAGAGGGGGGAGTCTCGCAGTGCAAAGAGATCAGCGGATGAGTACATCCTAAGGTTCCAAAAGTCTGTCTAGGGAAGATGGAAAAAGGCCAAGGATTCTTAATGATGGTATAAAAAGTCCAGGGGAGAGAGTTCACCATTTCGGCCGGGGACAAACCGGACTCCAGTGTCCTCCCACGACAGTGGAGAGGAGTCTCAGGCAGCTGTCCCAGAAGGCAATGCCCTGGTCACCCTCTCACGGTGGCCAGAGTCAGCAGAACTTATACAGTGGCAGCTGCAACAAAGATGACTCCCTCAGTGCCCCCGCCCAGGCTCACATCTTTCCTCACAGCAAGTGGATATTAATGTCAATAGGGCCGATGGAATTGCCGGAAACTGGAGGTCAGCTGTGGGCATACAAGGAGCTATTAAGTCTGGGTGCAAGAAAAAATCTGGTCGGGGAGATAGTAATCCAAGCCGTGCTCACAAACCAGGCCACGGCGGAAAAAGAAGAGGGAAGAAAAGGGGGGCGGGGTGGAGACAAACCCAGAAAGGGGGGCGGGACAGTCCACACCATCTCCCAGCTCTTCCCAGCTCCCCCGGTCTCCACCAGATCTTCTTCCCCCCCTTGAACTCCCAAATCTTCGATAAGCCTCCAACCAGCGAGCTCCAAATCGATAGATTGCACTCTCTCCTCCACAGCTGACAATAGACCTGGTTTGTAAAGGTCTAGATTCAAAGAGATTCAGGCGGAGCCCTGCAATCCTCCCTCGGCATCGTTCCAGCGGGTAGCATTTCACTCGTCGCCACCGCAGCCCTACGTCACCATCGCTGCTGGCAGTCGTTCAAGGGGGGGAGGCTCCACCATCACCACCGCACACACCCCGTTCCAGCCCTTGCTGGGGGACATCGAGGCAAAAAACACCGCCCCAATGATGTAACCACCGCTGCTGGTCGACCGTAATTTTTTTCGAGGGGGGGACAGCGACACTCCAAATTGCCCCACACTCTCACCCCCATTTCGGCCATCACAAGGGGACCTCTGGGGAGACGCCGAGGCAGGAAGTACTGCCTGGCCGTACCCGAGCCTCCCATCAGCGTCGCCATAATCCCGCGGCGCTCTTTGGGTCCCGACGGCCACACACATGTCCCAGGACAGCCGAAAAGATCGTAACAGGCTGTCCTCACTATTCTCTTGCTGGGCCGAGGGCTCACAGGTGGAAATTCGGCCATAGAGGAATCCAAAATGGCCTTATATTACCCCAGGCATCAGGAGCCTCAGCTGCAAACCGCCATCTTCGGGCATGCACAGAAGAATTTTGTTATGCTACAGCCTGATTCTACAGTTGTTTAAACAAGTTTTATTGGGGTTTTTTTTCTTTTCTCCTCTCCCACCTTCACCCACATCTTTCTTTTTCTTTTTGAACAGAGTGTTGGTCATTTCTTATCTTATACAATTAGTCAAATTCAAATACATTTTACTCAATTACAATTTTTATCAATATCGTCTTCCCCCTTTCCTTTTTTTTTGAATATACCTTAGTATTTCTATACTTGCATATATAAACACCTTCTTCATTTATCCCTAAATTCTAACTTTGCTAGTTGTACAAATTTGTCCTCTTTTATTCTTTAACAATTCATTCTTTTTCCTAATATATTTATATTTGTTTGTTCCAGTGACGGTTCGTCTGTCTGGATTTTGCTGAGCTCGTCAGAGCCCAACATTTTCCCAGCCAATAATGCTGCGCCACTTCCAGATTCCAGCCTGATTCTACAGTTGTTGAAATTCAATTTTTCACATTAATCTATACTCAGTACTCCATAATGACAAAGTGAAAACAGAATTTTACAAATGTCTGTAAATTAATTAAAAAGGGGAAAATGTAAAAGATCACATTGGCATAAGTATTCAGACCCTTTGCAACAACATGTGAAATTTAGCTCCTATTTTCCTTGATCATTGCTGACATGTTTCTATACCTTGATTGGAGTCCACCTGTGGTAAATTCAATTGATTGATCATGATTTGGAAAGGCACACACCTCTCTATAGAAGGTCTTACAGCTGACAATGCATACTGTAATAGAACAAAAACCATGAGGTCAAAGGACATGCCTACAGAGCTCAGAAACAGGATTATTGCAATTTTTGGGGAAGGCTAGAAATATTTTTTTTTTTTGCTGCACTGAAGGTTCCTAAGAGCACAGTGGCCTCCATAATTCTCAAATGGAACACATTTGACACAATCAGGATTCTTCTAAGAGCTGGTCACCCAGGGCCTTAGTAATGAACCCAATGGTCATTCTGACTGATCTCCAGACTGTGGAGATGGGACATAGTTTCAGAAGGACAACCATCACTGCAGCCCTCCACCAATTTAGGTTTTATAGCAGAGTGGCTAGACAGAAGCCTCTCCCCAGTAAAAAACAACAACACATGAAAGATTGCTTGGAGTTTGCAAAAAAATGCCTGAAGGACTCTCAGACTGTGAGGAACAGGATTTTCTGCTCTGATGAAACCAAGATTGAACTATTTGGCCTCTATTCTAAATGTTATGTCTGGAGGCTGCCCAATATCATCCCAACAGTGAAGTATAATGATGGCAACAATACCCTGGAGATGTGTTTTTCAGCAGCAAGGAGACTGGTCAGGATTGAGAGAAAGATGAATGGAACGAAGTACAGGGACATCCTCAATGAAAACCTGTTCCACAGTGTTCAGAACCTAAGACTGGGCCAAAGTTTTACTTTCCAACATGACAATAATCCTAAGCATACAGCCAAAACAACTGAATGTACATCAGTGAGAAAAAATTAATTTCAACCACTGTAGAATCACGCTGCAGCATAACAAAATTGACAAAAGAGAAGAGGGTCTGAATACTTTCTGAATGCACTATAAGTGCTGCCCATATATGTATCATCACCATGATTCTTCTCTGTTCTAAAGCCATGCTCTTTTTATTTTTATTTTTTTATTTTTTAACTATGACACCCTTCACAAATTAGCACTTCATCCTTGCACAGGAGACATGCTAGTCTTCTCTGTATCATTTCAATTTTAGTAAATCTGTTGCCTAAAAAAGCATCTCCAAAGCCATGTTCTTAAAGTGTTCAATATTTAAGAGAGGTTTTTGCCTGCAATGCCATATTACTGGTTCATATTCTGATTTCTGTACACTTTGTAGACTGAATGGGACACATATATTAGCACAGATATAGGTTCCCAATGGGACTCCGGGCTGAAAACAGAGAGAAAAGAAGTTGAAGATGGCAAGCACTGATTAAAGGAAGGTGAATAAAACTCAGTGAATTTCTAGTTCACTATCTAGTCAGTTTGCTTCTTCTCAATGATTTCTTGGAGCCTTGGTGGCGCAGTGGACTAAGTGCTGTTAAAGTAGCACTTAGTTGCCAGCTGCCTGCAATTACTGCAAGTTCAAATCTCACCAGGCTCAAGGTTGACTCAGCCTTCCATCCTTTCAAGGTAGTTAAAATGAGGACCCGGATTGTGGGGACAATAAGCTGACTTTGTATAAAAAAGAACACCGCTTTGGGGGGGGGGGGCAAAGCCCTACTAAGCAGGTATATACAAAAGTATGAAGGCTATTGCTTAATACATTGTAAGCCACCCTGAGTCTCCGGAGAAGGGCGGCATATAAATCGAACTAATAAATAAATAATAAATAAATTTCCCTGGTTACAGTATATGGCAATATTCTATTTAATCCATGGAACAGTCTCATGGACATGAATGGTATTTAAATCAAGAATCCTGTTAATTTCAATGTTTCTTTTTTAACTGAAACTCAATCTGGATCCCAATTAATTAGATAATGTCCCTTCTCAGGCCTAGGAAGGATCAAACATTTTTAATCTTTTCCTGGAACCTTAACCTTTCAAATATTTTCAGAAAGATATTTCAAACACATCAGTGATCATAATATTTAAAAATACATTGATAGTAGTTGTTTGTTCCTTGCACTTTCCCGCCATTTTTTTTTTTTAATTTGATTTATATGCCGCCCTTCTCCGAAGACTCAGGGCGGCTTACAATGTGCTCAGCAATAGCCTTCATCCTTTTGTATATTTATACAAAGTCAGCTTATTGCCCCCACAAACTGGGTCCTCATTTCACCTACCTTAGAAAGGATGGAAGGCTGAGTCAACCTTGAGCCTTGGCGAGATTCAAACCCTGCAGTAATTGCAGGCAGCTGGTCTTAATAACCAGCTTAATAACAGGGTGCCTTAAACTCCTGTACTACCAAGGCTCTTACTTATTTTTCAATCATATCTTCTCTGGAGGTGGCAAAATTAAACCATTTCATAATACATTTCAAGTTGAAAAGTAGCTAGAAGGAAAAGTAGTTGGAAAAGAAAAAAAACTGGTTTGCATCAGCACATTAAACTTGAAGTAGAGCAACAAGACTAAATCTGCTATGCTTTTTCCACCTACCTCAGGATCTTTGAAGTCCATGATCTTTTCACTCAGTAGGTATGCATTGAAACATCATTTTAATCTTCTTTCAACTGTTAAACATACTTGGCAAAAATGGGCAAACAATTCTGTCTTTGATGGCTCCAGGTTCTTTAAAATTGACATCTGAATAATAACACGGGATAATACACATTGTGAAAAATCATCTGTCATTTCTTTGAAGATAGGTTTGGTTAAATGTAGTTAATTAATAAATAAATAGAAGAATCCGATATGATTGTCATTTGATTATTTTGGGGTTCCTTATGTTGCCTGTTAAGTAATTTTATCTGATTCCTTAATGACAGTACAAAAATTTAGCAGATGGTCTGAATATATATTAACAACATTGCCATTGTGTGTATAGCTCTGTTTTTCTTATTTTATAATTAAAAATCAAACACAGGGAGCTAATAAAGTTTTAAATTTATTCATGCTAAATTCCATATTTTGGCTGAGTGTGTGAACAACTGAGATCACAATTAAAGAAGAAAACTCTCTCATTTTTACATCAATATAAATAATAATTAGATATCAAATTTCAGCCTGGACTTTGATAAAAGAATGGTCTAGAAAATGGCGTTTTAGTAATAAAACGACTTTAGAAAAGAGATAAATTTGTTATATATACTGCAATATATATCTGTTAACATATATATATATATCTGTTATATATCTTGGCAATATAAATTATTTCTTTTATTGTGTGACTATAGCATGGTAAACAACATAAATTGCAATAATTAAACTTAGAATATGCTACATAAATGTTACTACTACTAAATAACTATGAATATATTTCAAGTGTTCATTTTATGAAATTCATATTTTCTATTACCTCTCTCTCCCAGTTTTGTCTTTTGGGAAGATTTGGAAGAAAACACTTTATTAAAATTCTTCACATTTCAATAGAGTCGTCCCTCAAGGTTTTTGGAATAAAACATCTTTGCAGGAAACAAATATGTGAACAATATAACACTATAAAATTCAGTCTGTTATTTTCCAATTTCATATCTAATATATTTAGGTTTCTTCTAAACTATTAAGAAGAAAAAAGGAAGAAAGGGTTTTTAAAAATTAAAAATGCATGGCCATTTTGCTACTCTTGTGGCATAGTAAATACTCAAGAGCAGGCTTGCCATTTGAACTTTATATAAAAATTGGATGGAAATATGAGGATTTTTTCTTAACCTGAATATGAAGCATTGTCATGCAGTCGACTGGATTTCTTCTGGAAAGAGAATCTGTTATTTATTATTAATGAATTGCCATATTTATATACTGGCTTATGGCAAAAGCTTAAATCAGCTTGCATGAATGTCTTCTGGGCTTTTATCCACATAACAACAACTCTGTGAGGTAGATTGGTCTGAGAGAATGTAACTAGAGCAAGTTTGCCAGAGTATCATAGACTTCTTCATAGCTCCTCATACATATATGTGTACATATTCAGAGACTTTTTGTTACCTTCACTCCATACATACCATTTATTTATTATGAAAGAGAATCATATAGATACAATAAATCTCAATATTATTTATAATACTCAATTATAGATGTTGCAGGAAGCTTGGAGGGTGAGAAAAAAATGAGTAATAACTAAACTAATACAAATTACATCTGTCAGGGCATAAATTTGGAAATGTTTTATATGCATAATAAAGCAAAATAATAAAGCTCCAAAGTCATTTAAAGAGATAGTAAGGAATTAATCTTAGTTTCCAACTTTGTTCACAAAAAGTACAGTATAATCCACACTGAGGTCCTTTATTCCCCAAATGATATTATCCACAGATTACAAAAAACACTTTCAAGAAGGTAAACACTGAAAATATTTGTCTTTACTTGCTCATTTGGATAAAAGGATGTTGATAACCATTTCCTTCCTCTGGTTTTCACTGATAGAGTGAAAGTGAAAGTGTAGAAGTGTCACATAATCACACATATAATAGCAATAGCATGTAATACTTAGACGTATATACCACTTCATAGTGCTTTGCTCTAAGCAGTTTACAAAGTCAGCATATTGCCCCCAACAATCTGGGTCCTCATTTTACCAACCTTGGAAGGATGGAAGACTGAGTCAACCTTGAGCCAGTCCGGATTGAACTCTTGGCAGTGAGCAGAGTCAGTCTGCAATACTGCATTCTAACCACTGTGCCACCACATCTCCTAATGTAATTCTAGGTCTCCCAATGTGATTCCTGGGGGCTATACTATGCCACAGACTACTTCCTTGGTGCCCACTTAGTCCCTGGAAAGTATATGATTTTCTAATTTAAAAAAAATGTAAAGGGAAACTTGCTGATGCAAACAAAGAAATGTAGGAAGCCTCCTATAGAACAGTGGTCTAAAGAAGATAGTACATAGCATTCTAATAAATTGATGGTTTTGTAGCTAGGTTCCTCATAGCAATCATTTTGTGAACAGATAAATAATGATAACGATCATCTCATGTGATTTTTTTTTACAGCCCATTCAAATAGTCAATGGGCCTAACAGTTCCAAAAACCTAGGCTCAGCTTGCTGTGCTTTATCTCAGCCTGAAAGTCCCTTTATTCTTCAAGGCTGAGAGCTTCATGTAAGATATGAATTCTCCACCACAAAGCTTTTAGCTCTGGATTCCATTCCACCAAGACCACAATTAATTCCCCCTTCCATATTTTAAAAAGATGCTAAAACAATAAAAGGATGCTTTAAAAAACCCCAAATTTTATTGTAGCATCACTGGTTATATTTCTTGGGTCAGCGTTCCAAGTAATACACCCATAGAAAGCAGAACTCTGAGGCAGGTAGATTCCTCAAAGAGCAATTTATTGGATACATCATATTGGCACAACTGGTGAAAACCGACTCTGAAAGTTCCCACAGTTTTCACTGAATTAAAAAGTGAAAGTTCCTTCTTCCCCCAAGTCATCAGTCATATTGTCCAATAGAGGTGCTGGTTGGTTGGTTGCTTAGTTACTCCACTCCTCCTCTTCCCAGACCTATTGGAATGTCCTTGGTTCCCACAGGAAAACTTTTTGTTTTGACTACAAACCCACTCTATCTATTCTCCCCCCTCCCTACCCTGTCTTCTGCCTTGTGGCAACCCTGAAGCTTCAAAAATGGCCTCAGCCAGGTTTACTTCAGGGTTGATATCTTGCTTATTCTTTCTCAATGAGAACACTATTTTTGACCAGAGAAGCAGGCAACATACACATCAAAGTCTAAGGAATTCACATAGGAAGTCAAAACACTGGGGGGGGGAAAATATTTACAAATTGCTTATGTGAATATTCTCTAATGTTAATAGTGAGGACAAGTTTTGGATGCAAAGATGGGCAGCAATTATATTGCCCTTTCCCCACTTCTGCTCCCATTTCATGCCTTAGGCTGAAAGGGCAAATTTGGTAATTTTACTACTCAGATTTAGGAAAGTTATCCCAAAGTACTAAAGAGACACAAGTGGGCTCCATATTGCCTATCAAATGATGACTGGATCAGCAAGGAACACAAAGCTTTCCAGATCTTGATGGGCAGCAGTAGTATATAGATGGGGATTGCTGGGAAATGGAAGTTTGGAGTTACAGGGAGGTTCCTGTTTCCCTACCCCTGACAAATATTATACAT